TAAAAAAAGATCTCATACCATTCAGTTATCCTACTTCTGGGTATTCATCTAAAGAACACAAAAACACTAATTCTCCATGTTCTCTGCAGCGTCATATACAATAACCAAGAGCTGGAAACAACCCAAGTGCCCACTGACAAGTGATTGGCTACAGAAGATGTGGTAAATATACACAATTAAATACTACTCAGCTATATTAAAAAAAAAAAAAAAGAATGAAATTCTGCTGCTTGCAACAACACAGATGGACCTAGAGGGTATTATGCTTAGTGAAATCAGTCAGATGGAGAAAGACAAATACCGTATGACTTTACTTGAATGTGGTACATAATGAAACAAAACAAACGAATGAACTAATAAAAACCAAAATAAACTTTTAGACCCTAAGATCAAAGTAGTGGTTACTAGAAGAGAAGGGGGACAAGGGGTGGGCAAAGGGTGTAAAAAAGGACCAATTATAGGATGAAGGACAGAATTAGGTTTTCAGTAGGAAAATAATGTATTATATGCCGATGCTAATTAAAAATGATGCCCACGTGTTATAAACCAATGTAACTTCAATGATATTATTTTTATAAAAAAAAAAGAAAAGAAAAAGAAAAATGGCACTGACATACTCGCCAGACACAGAGTTGCCACAAACCTTCAATTTGTGAAAAATGCCATATCTATCTGCATGGTGCAATAAAGTGAAGCAGCGCAATAAAGCAAGACAAAGTCCACCGGGTATTCAACAGTTGTTTCAGGGAAGTATCTTCATAGATGTTTTCAGCCAGTGACAACTTTGGCATCGTGGAGGATTCATAACCATGATCCATGTCATCGCTGCAACCCAGAAGACCTTGGAGGGCTGCTCTGGGAAGCTGTGGCGTGATGGCCGAGGGGCTGCCCAGGACATTATCCCCGCTTCTACCGGTGCCATCACGTCTGTGGGCAAGGTCACCCATGAGCTAAATGGAAGCTGACCAGCTTGGCCTTCCATGTCACCACCTATGATGTGTCCATTAAGGGTCTGACCTGCCGCCTAGAGAAAGCTGCCAAATAGATGACAGCAAGAAAGTGGGGAAGCAGGCTTCACAGGACCCCTTCCAGGGCATCCTGGGTTAAATGAGGACCAGTTTTGGGGTTTTACAGTGGCACCCACTCCTTCCCCTCCAATGCTGGGGCTGGCACTGCCTTCAATGATCACTTTGTCAAGCTCATTTCCTGGCATGACAATGAATTTGGTGGTGGACCTCATGGTTCACATGGCCTGCAAGGAGTAAGAGCCCCCTGGACCACCAGTTTCAGCAAAGCACAAGAAAAAGAGAGTGGCCCTCAAATACTGGGGAGTCCTCGCCCCCTCATCCACTCTGAGAATCTCCTGATTTGTCACAGTTCCACCCCAGAACCCCCAGAGAAGGAGAGGGGTTTAAGGGGCCCTGCCTTGTCCTTTACCACCAGTGAAGTACACTGTACCCAGTCAAAAAGAGAGGGAGGACTATTGATTGACTTGACAGTGACATCAAAACCAAACAAATTGCAATGTGTAAATGTGTAAATGCTCTTTGGAGTCTAATTTGAATAAACTATGAGGAAAAAGAAATAATTAAGAAAATGTGAATATCGTGATCAAATATTTGATATTAAGAAATTTTAAATTCTTTATGTGTGATAATGTTACTATGATTATGTTGTTTCACTTTTTTTTTTAAAGATTTATTTATTCATGCATACAAGAACTGGGGTACAGGCCAGAGCTGTAGAGGGTGAGAGGGTTCACCAGAGACAGAGCGGGGAACAGAACAGGCAGATTGAAATACACTGCTGAGGGGAGCAGCGGGCTAGTCAGGAGAGGTCTGCTGCACCATATGGGTAGCTCCCCAGCCAGGGATTGAATTCATGCTGCAGTGGCTGCAGATAGCTTCATAGGCTGCTTATTAACCCCTTGCGCCACCAGGGGGGCCCTGTTGTTTCACTTCTTGATCTAATATATAAACAACAAAATGATAAGAATATAAGATAGGGTCCTCCCTGGTGGCGCAAGGCATTAAGTCTCAGCACCATGAGCTTTCGGCAGCCACTGCAGCATGAGTTAGATCCCTTGCCAGAGAGCTACCCACATGGCGCAGCAGACCTCTCCTGTCTCACCCGCTGCTTCCCACAGCAGTGTATTTCAGTGTATCTGCCTGTTTTGCTCCCCACTCTGTCTCTGGTGAATCCTCTCACCACCTCCCACCCATGCACCTCTGGCTACACCCTAGCTCTTATATGTATAAATAAATAAATCTTTAAAAAAAGAGATAATACAGGGGTAGGTAAAGATTTCTTGCTAAGGATACAGAAAGCATGAACCATAAAAAGAAAAAATTAATAAACCAGATTTCATCAAAATTTGAAAGTACTATTCATCAAAGACAATGGCAAGAAAATACATACCCAACTGGAAGAAAATATGTGCAACAGCCATATCTGGATGGGTGGGTGGATGGATGGATGGATGATAGACAGACAGATGAACCGACACATATGTACATACGTATATACGTACATACATACGTACACCACCTATGTCTTGTATCCAGAAAATACAGACAGTAATAAAAAGGCAAATGATCCCATTCAAATGGAAAAATTCTAGAATAGGCACTTTACATAAGAAGACATACAAATATCAAATAAGCTCATGAATCATACAAAGCTCATACAAATATCAATAAGCTCATCATTACTCATCAGAAAATGCAAACTAAAACTGTGAGATACCACTACACATACCAGAATGGGTAAAATTTTAAAAGATGAAAAATTTTAAAGAGGATGTGGATCAGAACTCTCATACATTACTAATAAGAATATAAAATGGAACATACACAGGAGGAGCTCATTAGATATTTAATTGTTGAATGAATAGATAAATGAATGAATAGTAGAAAACGTCAGAGCATTCCCATAGACTACCGGTGGTTTTCAAACTTCAGAGTCAAAAATCACCTGGAATGATTAAAATGTAGACTATCCCACAGGACTGGGAAGGGAGCCTCAGAATTTGTATTTTTATCATTCTTCCCTCAATACTTCTATTGCCCAGTCAAAAGTTCAGACTCAGAAAAACACTGTCTCACTTGTGGAGTTACCTTGCAGCAGGTTCCCTTGGGCTCTCCAACAAGTCAACTCTCCTGCCCAGGGGACAGTTTGTCCTAGGTGAGTGGTCCACAGAAAGGGGGCTTGCTCTGTTCTCTTTCATTCAAAGGGAGGCTGGGCATTGATCTAAGTGCTTGGACCCCTTCAATGGAAGGTATTATAAATACATAGTGTTGCTAAAATCACAAAAACTTTTAAATAAAAATGTTTTCCCTAATAATCCATCTATTTTTCATAATAATGGTTTTTCCTCCACAAATCTTAGCACTGTTAGGGGCCGGGCTGGGGGGCGGGGCGCGGAAATCAGCTTATTTCACAAAGAAACACTCCAATCCGGCATTTGTGTTGGTCAGAGATGGCCATGCTACCTTCATAATTTCACTCTGGGAACTTTATTCTCTAGAATCTCAAAGGTGACAGGAGGCCGTCCCAGTGGCCCATGTTCGCAGACTCACTCTGCTGTTAGAAGCCCATAACTGTCTTCCCAAGAGGGGATACCTGAGGCAGAAGCAGACTTTATTTCAAGATGCTTAGGTCAAAACAGCATCTTGGGATCCAAAGCTGATTCAAACTTCTTTTTGCTGTCAAATACATCACCAAATTTTAATCCCTGAGGGAGTTTTCTTATCTATAATAAAGACTGAATTTTCATTCATTCAACTTGTCAGTTTCTCTAACACTCAGATCTAGCAGAGGGAAAATGGCCAGGTTTTGAGCCAACTCTTTGAGCAAAGTAAGGTAACTCGGACTAAAAGTATTACACAACAGAATGCCCGGTCCTGGAAACATTCCGAGGCCTTTTTTTTTTAAGTTATCCAGAAATGACAAAGGAAATTATTTACTCCAGGAAGGTTTGCAGATTGGTGTAGCTGAGGGATCCAAGAATGCATTTTTCTTATGTCTTCCTCCCTGTCCTACTTTTGCCAGTAACCAAGTGACAACAGAATTATTGCTGGTCATCTATTTTTTTAATCATGTGCTTTTCTTACAAAAGACAAGGACAATTGTTGTTTCCAAAAAAAGGCACATGATGGTTACATGAGATTCCATACAGCTGTTGGATGCTTCCAGCCAGTCCTATCCAGGGTTTTGAAATTATTCATGCTTTTAATGGAATACCAATTATTTAAAGCAGAAAAAAAAAGGAGTTGAATGGGAACTGGAACCGTAACGACAATACCAATTGAAAATACAACCCATAGGGCTCTGGAACTTTTGAGATCTCACAGGATATATTTACAAGAATAAAAGACATTTTCTATCCTGGGTATATTTATTGACAACTTCACAAGTATTTGTAAGCCAAATTGCCTGAACTTCAGAACATGTCTCCTTTTTACTAAGTCGCCGGTTTGGTAGCTGTGGTGAATTGAAACAGGAAAAACTTTTTCTTTAAAGTAGAATAATTACTTTCCTTTCAAAATAAGACTTGATTTCAAAAACAATTTGAATATGTCTTACCTCAAAATAATATTTTTAAAAATCAGAATGCAAATTCCACACGTTTTACCCAATTCCTTTCCGAAGGGAAGAAATGGAAATAACCCAGTGATACAACACTCAGGCAAAAATTACAAAAGACAGGGCCTCCCCGGTGGCGCAGCGGTTGAGCGCTGGGTTGAGAAGCTGCCCGCGGCCTCTGCGGCGCCGGTTTGATCACTTCCCGGCCACCGGAGATGGGACCCACATGGCGTGCAGACCTCTCCTGCCGCCCGCTGCTCCCCTCAGCAGTGTACTTCGGTCCTTCTGCCTGCTCTGCTCCCCGCTCTGGCTCTGGTGAATTCTCTCACCCTCCCGCGCTTCTGACTGTACCCAGTGCTTGTATAAATAAATAAATAAATAAATCTTTTTAAAAAAAATTACGAAAGACAGTACTTAAGGATTTTGCAGGTGAGGTTCTGTGAAAACAAATAACAAACTGCCTATTTGTTTGCTGCTGTTGTTGAACTGAGAAGCTATGACTGTTCCAGGATCGGACGACCTAGCTGTCTATAAAGACACACTCCCCTTCCTGGGGGTAAGCAGAAGAATTGATATTCAGCCTTGTCAATGGCAATTTGGGAGGGGGGAGCTCAGTGAAAGGACCTGGCTCTGGCCCCTTACCCAAAGTAAAGCTACATGGAAAGGGAGGATTTTGCAGCCTGTGGGGAGGACTGGCCGGAAGAAAAGCCAATGATCCCTTTCAGGCATTTCATCAGTGGTCATATGCCTTTGAACTTTCCTTGGTTAAAGAAAGTGAACAGCAGCTCCAGACTTGTCAAAATACCTTGGGTTTCTTGGTCTGCTTTTAATTTGTTGGAATGTTGGCAGACACAGAGTGGTTCGCCCAGGAGGAACGCCTTAGACTATGTTCAGTGGTCAACTGCCTTGATCGGGTCACAGGGAGCTTGGTGATGACACCAGTCAGTCTGGCTTGGCTCTGAATTTTGTGATAGGATGGCTATACGGTGACTTGGAAGGGCTACTGTGGGTTATTATTTATGTAGAGCTAAACATAGCCACATGTCTGGAAAAGGGGACCTGAAACTCATCTAGCCCACCTGGGCAAGTAACAACGGACTGAGGTGGGCTTGAAGGGTAGGGGAAGGTTCTAAGTTGTACTGTGGTTGACAAAGAAAGCAGGAGAAAGGCATTTCAGAAAGACACATCAAGCATGAGAAAGGCTGGAAGGAAGCACAAAGGGAAACAGTTGCGAGGTGTGACCGATGCATGGAGATGAGAATGCAAAGGAAGGCCAGAAAGAAATCTATGCTATTAAACATCCAGCTAACATTCCTTTGGAGTAAGGCTCCAGCCTCCAGCTTCAAGTCCTCTCATCTACTGGGATTTCTTTCCATTGTGAGGTGTGGACTCTTGGAAGTAATTAACTGAAAAGAAATCATTTGCTTATAAGGTGAACATATAACTAAGCACCCAATCCTGAACACTTCAGCATGATGAGAGCAGCTGTAATTGTGTCGGGCACAGTTTGCCCAAACCTGTCTTGGACAACCCAGAATGTTCGGTCACCCAATTTTTTTTTTTTAGCTCTTTCTAGGTGCCAGGCGCTGTGATAGAATATTAACTCAAGTCCCTTAATTCCCCCAGTTACTCTGTAAGTAGGTGTAATGATTCCCATTTGACAAACCAATGATGAGTCTCAAAAGCAGAACTGGTTATCTTTTTGTAGTCCTTTTCCACTCCACGATCTTCAACCCTCATGTTTACCAGTTAAACCTCTGTGGACATTTAGGGCATCCAGCTACTTCAGGGTAAACGTCCTCATCACTGGACCTATACTTGTACCTGCCTCCTGATTTCTCCCTTGTGTTAATGGCTAGGACACCTGAATTTGAAACCCTCTCTCCACCCCAGTCCCCTTCATGGGTTCAAAGGTCTAATTTGCATACTCCATGCAATCTCCAGACTCTTAGAGATATTCTGACCCCTGCCTCACTGCCTTAGTCACCCTGCCATGGCCACGCCCTCTACCTCACAACTTCCTGGTCTCTCTTTTCCTTATTTCCACCCTACCTGTTCTGTGCCACCCACACTCCCAGCCCTGTAAGGCCTCCTTGCACCCAGTCAGCTGTTTAACAGCTGGCTTTGCAGGCAAGTAACATGTGCTTGGTTATCCGTACACGTTCATGCGAACTTACTGATTCAAGGATGAGTGGCACATAAATTACAAATAAAATATTCAGTACTCTTTATTGTAAACTCTTATCAGGTCAACTGATTCTCACAGAATGCTTTCACTGGTTTTTACTGAACTCTTATGTGTAGTCAACATAAAAGGGAAATTCAGCCAGGATTTGACTAATTGACCGGCATCCCAACCCACCAGCTAGCTCTTTTCTCAGCAAGCTTATGTTCCCAATTCATTTATCCGATGTGATTTACTGTTAAACTATTTCTCACCTTCATTCCAATTTTATTCGTTAAACTGAAACTTTGTTCAGTCTCAGCAAGCCAGTATTCCTACCATGCAGGTAAATACAAGCAACCTATGTCAAGAGTAAAATGTAGTTCATTCTGACATGATGAATTGAGTAGTTACTACCTTTCTTTAATATCTTATCTAATTATAATCTTATTTGCTAATAATGGTGGCATTTGAAATCGGCTCCCAATATTCCTGCAAATTTACCATCAGTTTTCATGAAATGGAGTCAGACTCCAGCCTACACTGCGGCTCCAACATCTTTCCCTATTTTACAGGACAGTCTAAAAATGGCACATGAAGTTGGCTCCCTCCAATCTACCTGGTAAACATGACGAGAGTGAGATCAAATAACCTAAAATGTCTCCAAATTTCCTTGGTCCAGGGAGAACTTCAAGAGAAATACATACCACAATCAGTCTGCACTGGGCACACAATGGCTTTACAACTTAGTACAAAGTACCTCTAGAGTTACAGAGAAGCCTACCAGCGATCCTGTGCATGAGTATGACAAACTGTGTATGCATTTACCTTCTTAAAAGGAGGACTGCAGAAAAGCATCAGAACACAAGCAAGCAGCTCTCCTACTTCTCCTGCAGGGAAATGCTGACTACCCACAAGCCCCACTAAGAAAATAAATCCCCAAGGCCTACTATTATCTACACTGACACCAATTCGTATGCACAGTCTTTCTCCCTGACACAGGAAGCCACTGCAGACATTATCTCATCCTCTAATCCTCACATCAAACCTGTGAGGCAGGTAGCAGAAAATACCCTCAACTTACCTTATCTGCAGGAAATCACTGCCTAAGCATCTGAGAGGCTTACTGCTCTGCCAACACTCCCAAGTTTCCCTGCCACCAACAGAGATGAAGCAGTGGCATCTCTGGCTTCTAATGGAACCATGCACTAATGTGTAAAATGGACTTCTTCTTGAGCCCACTCATCAGAAAAATCTGGCATAAAATGACCCTCTGTGAGCTCTAAGCAGCTGTCTCACTGGGGCAGAATTTGGTCATGCTTTAGTCCCACGATTGTGGAAACTCCAGCAGGACAGGAACATATTACCATCAGCATGGAAATTCTGCAAGTTGAATATAGAGGACTGGAACTTACAGAAGTAATGAGGTATAAAGAATGAACAACAGCACTCATGAAGTTGCCTCTTTCTTCTTGAAAAATGAAATCTCTACTTTCTACCAATGGCACACTGAGCAGCTAGGTCTTCCACTTTTGGAAAATGCAAACGTGATGAAGGTCCTAATTGCAAGGAATTTCACTAGCCTTTGAGTTCATTTACCAGCACAAGGCAGGAGAACAAAGATAGTGTCCTATCACTACTCAAACTAAGAAAAGTTGGCCCTAATCTTTATCTCCTTCCTGTAAGAGGTGAATGTCCCCCTCAGCGTGGCACTTTCTCCTCTTCTTGCCAAAACCAGAAGTCTGCACCTCCTCTCACAACCACCTGCAAACCTGAAAGTTCTTTAGAACACTTCTAGGTGTTCATGCCATCCTGTAGCTCCTCCAGTGGCAGGATCCAAATCCTTCAGCTCCCATGGCAGCCGTCTCCATTTCATGCCGTGATGCATTTACCACCACCACCTAGGACTACCTGTCTTCTTTTCCTGATCAAGCCTTTTCCATGCCATGAAAAACTTCTCTCACTTTTCAGTTTCTTAAACTGGAAAACATCTTTTTAAGATGTTTAAGTTCATGTAAGTTATCACAAGTATAATTTTTTTATACTAACAGTAAATTAGAATGAGGGCATCTACCATGAATAGACCCTCATTTTGAAGGTCATTGCCCAGCCCAGAGGCTGGCTCATGGGCCTGTAATGAGCATTCATATGAGACAAGGTTCATCATGTAGGTGACAGCTTCAGAGCCTGCCACTTAGTGTGGCATCTCTTGAAATGGCACTCCACCTGCCTAGCCACATCAACCAGTTTAAATTTAACAGCACACCATGGTTATAGGTCAGCTCAAACATGGAGAAACAACAGCCAAGGCAAAGTCCTTCAGAATGGTCGGTTCACAGGTCAAGAAACAATCCTGGATACACATCCTGATTCTGCTGTCATCTCCCACAGCAGGGGCCTAGATACTGTCCAAGGAAGGAAGCCTCTCCCTCTACACTAAGAGTTGAGCTCTGCCCACTGGGTTTATCAGGAAAACTTTCCTGCTGTGTTGCTTCCTCTTATCAAGTAATGCAAAACTTGGAACTAGTCTCAGTAAGTGACTTTAGAGTTCTGTGTATATGTGCAGAGGGTTTAGGAAAGGAGTCTGCTGGTTTGAGTTCTGGCAGTACAAACTGGTTTGCTGCATTTAGCCTAGATCAGCAGTTTTCAGAGATCTGTGCATGAGCCACAAGGCCTGGGAATAGATGATTTTATGGTTCTATACTCTGGATTTCTACCATGTCTTTAAAGAAAGGATTCCATTTCTGGAAGGGGAAATAAAAACCACCCTGAAATATAGACTGATCTTCTGGGGTCTGAACAGATATTTCTTTGTTGCTATTCCAACTCACTCACTCACAAGGTACAAGAGTTAGAAGCAAGAAGATTGGGAATGATCTGGTTTTAAAATGTATTTTAACCACACTAATCTAATCTTAGCTCATTCCTTGAGTATTTTTCTGGGAAAAAAAAAAAAATCAAACATATAAACCTCCAAATCGCAGTAAAGGAGGATGCAATTCTCCCCCTTCAGCAGGAGTGTGAAGCAGTGTCAGGCACACACCAGCCTTGGAAAGCACTGTTCCCTACATCCTAGTCCGTGCCGGCTCAGAGACCTCCTAGCAAGACCCTAACTTACTGTTAGGTGTTCTTATGTTTAGCACAGGTCTGTTCTGACATAAGATTTAGTAAGCTTATAGTAATTACTATACCGGATGTCGTCTCAGACATTCCAAAGATGAAGTACTCCAGGGTTGTCTGTTATCAGGAATTTTACTTGTTCTCCAACTCTCTTGGGCTACGGTTTGGTCCCAGAGGGACTGTTCCCCTCCTCCCGCCCTCCAAAGGAAATACCAGATTTGATAAACCATGGCACTGTGGCTGACAAGGTTTAAACCAAGTGATAGCTAAACTTTTTAAAATCTAAGAAAAAGCTTATTTTGCACAATTAGGAAAGAAAGACACCAAAGCACTAAACATAATTTATGTACATTTATGGCTTTATACAGTAATAGCAAAGATTGTTCTTGTGTCTGTAAGTACATCAGCATCATCAGGCACTTCTCAGAGAGTATCGGAACAGGAACATGGAATCTGCACTGTTACTAAACTCGAGTAGCGAAATGCTCGGAGGGCATGACTATGTCCTAACAGGACTTAGGTGGCTACCCCTGGCCACACTGCCAAGCAGTGCACCACTCTCAAGGAGGAGGCCAAGAGTAATGCCAGGCTGTTTTGTTTGCATAAACTACACTGCATGTTTTACTGAATGATTACTCCCAAACTAAAACCACAAGAGAAACTTCTTAGTTCAAAGCCAGTTATAAATTAAGAACTCTTAAGAGCTGAATATAAGAATTTCAAGAAAGGGGTAAGGTTAGGGAGGTGGGGAGCACTGGTAACATATATCCAGCAGTTGAACAAGTCCAAATTGGATACCTTTGGAGAACTGTTTCCATTTTAAGTGTCCTTTCTCCTCTTCTTGGGATGTTCCATTTACTACTGCTCACTGGGACACAACATTTGCTAATTAATTTAGACTGTCAGTTGTCAAAGCAGAACTTTCCAGTAATACAGCTATTACCTAAATATATTCCATACGTTTATATTACGCAAACAATACTTTATATTTAAAATATCTGAATAGCTCTATAATACAATATGCTTTTAATAACAGTACAAACCAGAGGAAATAAATCAAACAAGGCTGCATAGATGATAACATCTGCACATTTCACAAAGCAATCATGTACAATAACTGATATACTAATTGCTCCAAAAAGTCAGTCTTCGTACAGAAAAAGAAGTACAAGAGGTCACATAATGTTTTCAAAATAGACAAGGTGCTTTTCACTGGACTTCACTGTACCCCAGGAGAGCTACCCAGGATTCATGTTTAGAATTTCAACACAAAAAAAATTTGAAGGATAAAAATATATATTTACATAGACTCAGTAGGAAGAAACATCTTTTTAAAAGTCACTCCAAAAAGTAGCAAGATTTTAACCATGATTTTAGCTGTAGTTGCCTCCCTGAAGGGCTGTGAGGCTACGGAGTAAGGGTACCCTAGGAAGGGAGTGGTAGCACTTGATAACAAAACGAACATGAGTACTCTGGCACCAACAAGTTTTATCACATGCACAAGAGGCACTGCTTAGAGGAACTAAAGTTTCTAAAACCAAACATTTTGGAGAAGCCAACAATGAGGATGGTCAGAGAGGTGGCTGTTTAATAAATTTTCAAAATGGTAGAAGTCACAGTGGAAAATTTACAACAGAGCTGGCCTCCTATAGGAAATCAATTGGGTACACTTGTTTTTTGTTAAATATGTAGGAAAACCCAACAGAGATGCGATTCATATGCAAGACAAAGTAAGTGTGATTTGAGTTAAGTGCACAGAAATCAGAGCCCTCAAGAAGGCAAGTGGAACATTTTTGTGCACCTGTTCCACTTTGGGCATTCCATGTGACTTGAAAATACTGATGGATTAAATGGGAGGCAAAGCCAATTAACTTGGTCTGTCAGTCAGTTACTTATAATTGAAAAATATTAAATCATAATCAGAATTACAGTTTAGGTTATTAAAGGTTAAAGAAAGTCTCCAATTTTTAACGTACGCAAAGACTTTTAAAAATACATTCAAATATACAACTTACAGCTGGTTTATTGGTTTTCAAATTAAATGCCCCAATTTAAAACAAGTTCTATTCCATTTGGTAGCCATCTGCACTCATGAACACAAAGCATTTCTACAAACCACTAAAGTCCCATTTAAAAAGTTCTCCCTTTGACTTAAATTTCCACAGCATGCTAAGTACTCTGCAGAAGTGGGAGAGGGTGTGTGTGTGTGTGTGTGTGTGTGTGTGTGTGTGAAGGGTGAGTGTTCACATGATCCCGCAGAGCTACACAACCAGCCTCCAACCTGTACCAGAATAAGAGCACAGGAATCTGAGGGGAAACTCTGCTGAACTCACCTCAAAAATTTTAAGTTGATCAAAAAAGCCCTAGTTTGAGAAAGGAGCAATGTTTTAGATGCAGACATCCCTCCTCTGCCCTACTCCCACCGCCAATTCTGATCTACAAACATTACAAGGCCTCCCTGGAGGAACTGGCACAGCACACAGCACATTGCCATCTTATGAGATGACGCAATGCTATATGGTGTGCTTAGCTCATGGATCATTGGAAGTTGACGGAGTTTCTTTAAAATACGTATAAAAAACCATATTAAATTCTCCTAAACATGAAATGCGAAATGTCTATAGCTATATATCACTCTCCTGCCAAAATAGGGCCAGAAATGTTGAGTATGCAAGTATTAATTACAATGATTTTAAGATTAGTCAGTAACATCACCAAGTAACATCCCAAAGTGTACAAACCAGTTAAGCACGTATAAAATTAGTACTAATCCAGTTAGAAATACAAAATGAAAATTATGGATGCTGCCTCAAATATCTGGGATTCCACAAATTTACAAGCAGACTATGTAACAAAGTAGACTCTAGTTTTAAGAAAACATTACAGTTCAATATCTATTCCAAAAATGATCTCAAGTCCCAACAATAACATCAAAAATCATTTATCTGGAAATTAGAACCATTTAAATGTTTGTACAAATTTGCAAATAACAAAATAAACAAACAAAAAAAATAGAAAAGACCTGTACAAGGCTGGCGTTTAATTATTTTTTTTTCCTTCGAGAGTGTGACAAGTCCGTTGATTCAGCAGATTAATAACAGGCTATTGGTTCTCATGTAAATCATGTGGCAATAAGAACAGGTCCAAAACTGTTCAACGGAGGTGCAGTATGAAGAGCTTGGTACTTTGTGATTCATCAGTTCAGCAGAACCCAGGTAGTACGAACAAAAGTTTAACTTATCAAGGACATGAGACCATCACAGTATTACAAAAAGAGTAAAAACTTTCCTTGGACCAAATGGGTATTTTTAAAAAAAAACACACACAAATACAATTCTGTAGCTACTGCTTATATACAAAACTTGAAAGCACACCAGGATCCAAGTCTTTTCTGCAATTATATGGTGTAGTGAGTTTGGCACTTCATTGTAATGAAATTTCCAATGGCACAGTCCTTATCTACAGCAGCACATAACCTGCAAACATCGGGCAAACATCCTGTACAGGAAAAGTGTCTTCGCTGCCAAGTCTGACGAAAGGAAAAAAGAAACTTTTTTTTTTTTAATCAAGAAAATGAAAAAGAGGGGTGAAGGACATCTTTGGACTGCTTCTCTCAGTTCTGCTGTCAGACAATTTGAAGTACTTTTAAGTATAGCCTAGGAAAAAAACACACACCAAAAATGAAAATATAGCCAAATTAAAACCAATTCAATTTAACATATTACAGTGACAGGCATACTCAAGGGTAAAAAAAAAAAAAAAAAAAAAAAAAAAAGCTAGTGCTTTCTCAAATAGCTCAAATCATTCAATGGGGAAAATTACACTTTAAAAAAAAAAAAAACCCTTTAGTATTTGATTTGTATCAAACATATTCATTTATTGAAGAGCTACTAACAAAAAGATGCAGTCATCCAACTGTCAAAAGAAAATCTTTAAAGTAGTTATAAGAAGTTTCCTTAAGTTATAACTCAAAAGGAAAATTTACATACTGCGAAAAGGGCAGAGAAGGGACGATAAAGGATGACTCTGTGGATAAAGGATGACTCTGTGAGGGGCAGCTTAGTCAAGTCCCAACCGTTAAAGACACATGGCATATGACTGTGCACCTATCCTTTACATTCTATTTTCAGAAGGTGTTTTAATATTGGGGTGAACTTACCTGCTCACTAACCCTTAGCCTGACACCCAGCTATGCGTTGTCGTCTTGACACTGTGCGGGAAGCTTTGGTTGGGCAACACATTGTCAAAGTTAAAATCCAACGTATCTCCATCCATGAGGTCATTCCGAATGATGGACTCCATGTCACAGTCCAAGCGCTCGATAAACATGCCGTCCAAGTCACTTGGGAGCTTCTCCTGGTGGAGAATGCCCATCCTGCCGTAGCCATTGCAGCTGCCCACAGAGGAGTAGCCCCCCAGAGCATTCATCTGCATGGGGTGAGGCAGAGGCACTTGTAAAGATGTCTTCACTGGGCCCAAGCGGTTCATACCTGAGGTGTGGGGCATGGTGTTTACCGCATGGGGCAAGGCACGCCCATTAACCACAGACGTTGGCTGAGCATGTCCAGGGTGAGAGTGGGAGCTGGGACTCATCATTTTGTTATGAGATGCCTGGCTGCCATAGGATGGCATGACCGAATTAGGGCCCATCAACACATTCTGGCCAAGAACCCGGCTGTTGGGCTGGGCCACCCCAGGATCAACTGGTGTCATAATGTCATTATGGGGAGGAGAGTCTGAAGTAAGTAACTCCTTCAAAAGCCCCGGTGCACAGGTATACTGAGTCATACCTCCATAAGTCGATTTGTTGTCCTGAAGTGTTTGCATAGGCATCTGGGGCAAGGGGCTCATGCTGGATTGGCCATAAGTGTATTTTTGGTAGTTTGGGCTGGGTGAATTCAGACTGGTGTTTGGTGGAGCAAATGAGTAGCATGGCGTCTGCTGCATCATGGTGCCAGGTGAAGACTGGGTCGAAACAGTTAATGACGTTGGTGATGAGAGAAGGTTGAGATTATCCAAAAGGTTTTCCATGTTTTCAGGATTGCTGATCTCAGACAGACTGGGCAGAGTGGAAGTCATCTTTGCAGCAGATGGTGGGTACACCATAGAATGCACATCCCCATCTCCAAGATCATCCTGTTCTGTCATAATAGGGGAAAGTCTTCCACTAATAGTACTAGCATTTGAGCTAGTTCGAGGACGAAATGTACTCCAGTTATCAAAGTCATCGTTGCTATGAGAGCCAGGGCTTGCAGGCCACTTAGAAAACTGAGATCCAGGGCTATCCCCAGCACCCTCCTGGCCAGACTGGAGGGATGCTTTTTTCTTGGCAGCTCGGCCTCGGCTCTTAGCAAATTTACTGTTGTTGTCCATCGATGCAGCTCTTCTCCTGGGGGATTTTCCACTCTTGCCTCCCTCTGGATTGAGCATCCACCAAGAACTTTTTCCAGTTCCTTCGTTCTGCACACGAATGAACTTGCTGTGTAGTGACAGATTATGACGAATTGAATTCTGTAAAACAAAACATCATGTGAAAAATACAAGTACCTCTCCCTTGGAAAACGTACTGCTCAAAATAGGTATACATTACATGAAAGACATGCAAACTTTTAAAGAGGTTATGGTATAATTTTCAGCTCGAATCGTCATGATGTTCTTTCTGAACACCATTATGAAAGAACTCAAATTGGTACAGGAAAAATAGTATCTTATCTTAAACACAGTATCTGCATCTTAATTTAATGAAGGGATAAAACTACGTAAGTATCATCATAAACACCTTTTATATAGCTATATTTCACAGGGAAATTACAGAAGCTGGTTTTAAAACCACTTGAATTTTGCTGAGTTATGATATGTAAATAGTCCTCTATGACAAAGTACATCAAAAACCCTTTCCATCTTATTACCTCCTAAAACTATTGCCAATTCTCTTCAGGTTGCACATGCACCATTTACACAAAGCTTTCTATTACCATACCCACATGATTATAGAAAACAAAGAAATGAGCAGGGTAAATGCTAGTCAAGAATTGAAAGTCTGAAAACTAGTAAGACCTAGATTCATTTACACCCTTAAAGCACAGGAGGAAAATACAGGTGAATATAGTCTTTTTTTTAAGAAACTAAACTGTCACCCCCCCCCCAAAAAATTTAAATTCAAGTATTGCTTGCCACCCTGCTCCCAAAAATAGCCAGTGCTCTGTGCTAACTGAACACTACATCAGTGGTTATGCTGTCCCAAAAGACAATCTGAGAGGGATAGTGTGGTGGAGAGTACAAAGGGCCCTCCAAGCCTCTATAGTTCTCTGCACCACATATACCCCTGTACCACATGTAATATAGCAAGGCAATTAGTGACATGGCTCAGCTCCTCACTGGCTACATAACTATGGCAAACTGCTTGGCCCCTGTGTACCTAAGTTTCCTCATCTATAAAACAGATTATAAAGTTGTACAGGGTTGTTCTACAAATTAAGATATGGTATATAAAATGTGTCTGTCACATGTTAATCAGTTGCCAAGAAGAAGTTATTAGTTTCTGACTTTGAGGGCACAGGATGTCGCTATTCTGATTCGGTTTCTCTCCTATTCACAGGAGTGTGGTAGGAGCTTGCAGATATAGACGCAGACCCACATCTCCAAACCACATGGTGAAGAGGGCCAGCAATAAGTCTTCCAGGCTCCAGTAGAAGCATCGAAGTCAGGCTGCAACAAATGAACCCCAACTTGAGTCTCCTATGGGGTACACAAGATTTCCAGCATCCAGAAAGCCTCAGGGATACATGAAAACAAAAAGTAGATTCCCTGAAAAAGAAGGGCTTTGTCTTTTTGTCCCTAGCACGAGACAGGCGCATGGTAGATTCTCACTATCTGCTCCTTCAGTAGCCTCTGTCCTTTGGGCCCTTATCCCAAGTTCACATATAAGAACAAGGAGGTTCTTGACTCTAGGGAGCAGGGCTGTGTGCCTGGTATCCGGACTGCCCCAGTCACCTCTGCCTATAAGATGCAAGGTTCACCTACCTAAGCCCCTGGACTTCTTCAGCCCCCGCTCTCCCAGACCACAAAACGGGTCTAGCTAGATTTGCAGTCACCCAGGGATGCAGTCACGATGCCCACATCCTCATGCCTTTAAGTGGGACGCAGATGCCTGGATGCCAATCATTTGTACCAAAACAAAGCCTTTGCATGCAGGACAACGTTGGGACTCCAATATAAACCATGAACTCAGGTATACTCTAATTAAAAGGAGGTAGAAAACAAAAAAAAACAAACAAACAAACAAAAAAACCTCACTTTTTAAAAGGAGATGCGAAAGTTAGTGAGGTCAGATAGTCAGGAGTGAGAAATCCACGTTTCAAAATACTCTCTGACCCTCTGTACTACATTCCACCCCAGGATTGCAACACAGCAGCTATGTAGCAGGCCCTTGGGCCAGGGCAGGCAGCAACTGCTGGTCAGACAGGGCCCTGAACAGGGAGAGGACTCCAGGCTGTTTGCCGGGCAGGTATGGAAGTAGATGACAGTGACAGTTTCTTTTGTTACCAAAACTTCCCTCTTTCTTCCCACCTAAGAAAATATCCCCAACTCAAGACAAGTTTTAAGGATGCCTTTCAGTCCACACAAGAATCTCTAAAGGAGGCCAAGTGTTACATTTCCCTAATGTCCTATTTCACTCCCAAAAGACTCCCCCAAACTCAATGGGAAAGTTTTGTGCGCAGCACACACATGTAAATGGTACCAGAGCCGCAACCTCATCTGCTGGGCCCACCAATATTGGAAAACCAAGTTCTAAAGTCCTCCTTCAAGAAGCAGCTTGACCCTGGGGGATAGACTGGAATGGGCCAAGTACTCTCACCCTGCAACATTTTCTGTATACTGAAAGGCTGGCATTTGCAAAATATTCCATCTTGATAATCTTGTTCTTTGAACACAATAGACACAGATAAGCTACCATGAAATCTCTGAAGGAAAGGAAACTTGACTCCTGTCCCTATCACATTTACTTAATGATAAAGGGAGATCTTCCTAGATAATGGCTTACCCACAGTCTGTACCGCCTGGGGAGGGGGTGGAACAGCTCTCCAACTTAGATATTGTACCAGATCATCTGCACAATTGGAGGGCATTTTTAATAATACTGTGAAATACATGACCATCTTTTAAAAGTTCAGGAAGTATTCACAAACCCAGGTGGGACAGACAGTAATTCTCTACTTGGACTTACAAAAAAAAAAAAACAAAAACACCACAGCACTCCCTTACTTATCAAAACATTATGCTACATATTTTTCTTAGAGGACATTTCAGGTCGCTGTTTGAGTAACAGAGCTGTCTCCTCACTTTGCCAACAATTAAAAAAAAATTTTTTCCGAACAGGAAAAGGTTTGCTGTGCAGGGCTTGTTACATAAATTCCTGTTTTTCACATAGCCAGCAGGACATTAAAGAAGCTATGATTTCCAACTGGGGGTGGGGAGGGAGGTGCGGTGTTGATAGGTAAATCTTGTAAAAATATGTGTTGCTATTAATGATGTTATGTCTACAAATCTCTGCCGGACACAGCCAAGGCCAGAGGAAAGTGCAGTTCACCCATAGAGCTGTGTGGCAGAGCCACATGTAACTGCTGGTGCTCTGAGATATTCAGTTCTTGAATTATAGACAAATTATTACTTGAGCAAAGAGGCAGATGTGAGGACAGAGGACTCGTGTGCTGTCAACCACTTACCCAAATCCTGATTCTGTATGACGCCATTAGAGAAAAAGACCAGTCAGCAATTTTCCTCCCCACTAGCTGTATATCTCTGCAGCCAGGGGTTTCTGCTAATGCTGAACTGGCTTTCCTCTTGGACCTGCTCCCCAGACTCTCCCCAGCCACCTGCATGCCTGGCCACCCCAAGCAGTGCAACATGTTGTTCTTATGGACTGTGTGAGGGAAAAGGGGTCTTCTGGAAAACAGGTATTTCAAAACTGCTTACCTGGCTATTACTAATTCTTGGGATTCTACAGACCAGATTCCATGTTCCTTAAAGGGCACGGGGCTAGAATTTGATTTTATTTTCAATCTCGAAGAGCTACACATGCTCTTATATACAATTAATGTTCGATACCTGACATCCCAAAAGCATCACAGGGAAGGAAGCTGGGATGTTTTACCCATCTTTTACCCATCCACTTTGGTACCATTTCTCCATTTATAAACTCATGCCAAGTAACATTTACTGGGACTTATTCTATCTAGGTGTAGTAAAGGACACAGAAGGAATTAGACACAAGAGTTTGCATTCTAGGTGTTTTATGATCTACCTGGGGAGAGCACAGGCCACATAAACAGTCACTAAGGGCAAAAAAATAATTATGTACAAAGGACTATCCAGGAATATTAACCATTTCCCACCAAAGGTGCTCACTTACTCTCCCAATTTTTGTTTCCTTTTAAGTGTCCTTTTTCTTCGAGATGAATTCACTGACTAACCCCATCCCATCCTGTAAGCTCTCTGAGGACCTTGTTTACCACTAATTATGATTCTGCTACATCTGGTCCTTTGGGGGCATATCTGGCTCCCCACCTGTAAGATGTGTCAGAGTTCATGAACATGATTTGTCTTCGTGGATACTATCTTCACAGCTCCACCACCAAGCAGGGACTCAAGTATTTGCTAAATGGATTAATGGGTCCCACATTTACAGGTCTGTTCTGAGATTAAATGAAATAATATATGTAAGGCACTTGCCTCGATCACTATTAGTTGATGTTATTATTATCACTGGGATAATGTCACCTATAAAATAGCATGTCTGTGCTTCAGAAATTTATCTATCTTATAAACATTAGTCTCACTTCTTTATAAGCATACCTTGTACTGTTTCCCCTAATGTGGCCTTTTAACATGGTCAGTTACTGGAAAAAGACACCAGTTTGGGGGTAAAATTATTTTATCTTTGCACTAGACACTGTCTCCGATGTTGTAAACAGATGTTAACTAAGGAGTTTAGATACAAAAGCTGGTCTGTTAATACTGGTCAAAATCCTTAAGTCTTCTCAAGGTGCTGCTGCCGCACCAAGCACATGGGCACCACAGAGCAATGGGCTCTCAGTGCTATGGCACAGCCAGCGTGTGACAGGGAAGCAGTGACGGGTATTAGAGCAGGGCTACTCCCACAGGCCACAGTCTGGACGACCAGTCCTGCTAGTCCACTGCCTTCCTGATTGGAAGAAGCAAGGCTCTAGGGCCAGTCTGCAGAGAACCCCCTGAGGACATAGAACAGGAACTATCCTGCCTAAAATGCTCCTAGTATTACTGTCTGAAGTAATAATCATGCAGCCACTGTCATGCAAGAAGCTTCTTTATGCCTTTCTTTTACTTTAAATTTAATTCATTTTTAAAAATATATATTTTCAAATGTATCATATATACATATTAGTATAGTGTACTATGTGTGTGTGTATTCGTATAGTAGAAATAAGTAAATTTTACACTGAAAGGGTATGCTGTATTTTTAAAAAACATTA